TCAAGTTGAGCGCAAGAGGATGGAAAACACTGCCGTCCCACATACCAATATAGTGGCCATCGATAGCAGTCTTTGGTGTTCGAAAGCCCAGTCCCACATCCTTAAACCATCTCCTGCCGCCCTTCCCCTTCCTCTTACTCTTCCCGGCCTGTGTCTTGGAGTTGAGAAAGATATGCGGTTGCTTTTGGAACGCACGCTCCGACTGAACTGTAAGCTCCGTCGCCATGCTTGCGATACTGACCTGTTCGAATGTACCGCAGTGCGATTGAATGTGTAGGTGAGCGTGGTCCGTATCCTTGGCTGTGGTAGACTTCTATACTCGCTTGTGAAATCGGTGTGCGAGACTCAGAATTCGGTCAAAAGGTTTTGCCGAGCCGGTGCCGCGGTGGAGCTACCTGCGCTAGCACCGAGATGGGGTAAACAACAACATTAATCGCGGCCCAGTGCTCCGCTTCCACCACCATTGCTAACGTGCGTGAGAAAACGGACGCATTCTCCCTCATGGCTGGCTTACAAGCCAAGGAAAATATGGCGCCTATCGATATGACGGTCCCGACAACTAATAAATCGCCTTTGAGAGACAAGAAAGGGAAAAAATCTCGCAGTAAGAGCATTGGACCCGGTGGGATGGATGCATTGAAGGACATGGCGGATGCTGCAAACCGTCGCAAAGTATGGAACAGCAAATATGCACACGCGCGTGCCATTTCATCCGATCATCGCTAAGATTTTGCAAATCACAGTCCGCATTTGTCCCTCAATCCATCCTTCCCTCCAAAGAAGATGAGCAGAAACGCCGAGAAGCGCGGCGTAAATCCCTCGCAAATCGTCGCGTCTCCTTTGCCCCCGAAGCTACGTTACATACCTGGGACGTTATCGAGTATTTGCGCGATGCTACTCCCTCGACTGCTTCATCTGGCTCCGCTCGACATGCATCAGTCGTTGCGAAAGCACGCAGCTCAGAATCTCCCGCAAAGAAGTCCCGATCGCAAGATACAGACGCTTCAGAACCCATCCCGCCCAGTACACCGCCAGAACAAGCAGAGGACACGCCGATAGTATCGGCAAGTCCAGCGGACCAGAGGGGTTTACATCAGAAGAAACGAAGAAGACGAAGTTCAGGAATTCCACCTATGAACTTTAACAATCCTGACGATGTATATTCCTCGAGTCCTACCAGCGGCGAATCGGCAATCACATCGTCTCCCTTCAACGTCGAAGGAGATGAGGATGGAAGCAATGATGACGCGGAGAGTACAGCTATGAGTCTTGTTACAGATGAGGGTGAACCTACTGTAACGAGCCGTACGAGCGGGACGAGTGAAGGCAGTAATGATTCAACAGGCTCCTCTGCGCGTCTTGATGCCGCACTTCGGCAGGCTGCCGAGGCTGCGGGTACCAGGGGTCTCGAGATAGATGATGGTGGAGAAGCAAGCATGGAGATTGCCGACGGAACTGTTACGGACGCATTTCAACCATGGATGGATGCATGTCAGAAAACAACGCGAGCTGGTGGGAGCCCGGTAAAACAAAGTGCGAAGGTGGCCTCGCTTTTGGATAGCGATAAGGAGAATGTGAATCCGTTCAGTCCAGCGTTCAAAGCTGGGACTACTGCTACCATCGGCTCTCCCCAGCAAGAGATTGATGACCAAGATAATGGTGTGAGCATGGATATCACCCAGGCCGTCGGCAGAATCATGCCTCAGAAAAAGCAAATGCGAGCAAGAAAGTCTCTGCAGGATGATGCAACGATGGACCTCACAGTTGCCGTAGGACGTATTCAGCCAAATGCTGTCGATCACGAAGCAGATCCTACTACAATACCTAAAAGACGGCGCACATTGAGTTCGGGATCGCCTTTAAAGCTTTCGAAAGAGTCCCATGGCAGTCCCGCGACTCGGCGCATTGGCCGCGATTCAGCTGTGAGACGAAGACGGAGCTCTGGAATAACCTCAAATCTAGATGAAGTGAGCATGGAATTCACTACAGCAGTAGGAGGAATCCAGCAAAACCCAGCTAAAGCGTCAGGAAATCGACGCGCCAGCGTAGAAAGACTCCAAAGCTCAACAGAGAGCTCGGTTTCCGATGATGAGGCAATGGACTTGACATTGGCTGTTGGTCAGATCCAAGAAAATGGTGCCAGAGTCACAACCGACGATGATCCCTCGCTAAATAGCAACGAAGAATTAAGTATGGAGCTAACGACAGTGATGGGTGGTATCCAAGGTGCACAAAAATCAGAGCAGGAAGACCAACCGAAAACTCCTATCACAGAAGCGACATCAGACCCTCTCTCTATAGCCTCAACACCGAAAGACCAAAACCGCTTCAAAGACGTCCAGGAGCCGACGCCCAAGAAGCTGACCCCTCTCTTGGAGAAGCAAGCCCGGACTTTAGAGACGCGAACACCTCCCAAAACTCCGAGAAAATCGCCACGTAAGAGCATTGGACGTCCGAGTCTCTGTAGTGCTGAACAAGTTGAAGAAGCGCCGGCCATAGATGGAGAGCCTGTAGTGCCGGACACTCCAGAGGTCGAAGTCGCTGATATATCGGAAAATGAAAAGGAGAACGAACCTCCAAGCCCCTCGCCGAAGAAGAAGCCAGCATTCAATTCTCCTACAAAAGCTTTTGCTACGCCTGAAAAGGAGTTGGCTGCAAAAGAGACAAGGACCCTCAGTGAGTCGATGAGATTACTCTCCACCCCGCGAAAGGAAGTTAGTCAGTCTCCTCTGAAGCGTTTGACCAGCGCCACACCTAAGAAACAAGCTACACCGAAATCCCATTCACCTATTCAGAAGAGCTTGACCCCCCTCAAAAGAGCAAGTCCGGCGAAAAGCGCGTCATCACGGAAAAAGGTTCAGGTTGAGCAGTCATTGGGGTCACCCATCAAACAGGACAAGAATAGGGGCGACAGCGACGCAGTCATGGAAGAGATCCGAGAACCGATCCAGCCTTCACCCGAGCACATCCACCTCCAGCATTTCCTCGACATGACCTCCATCCGCTTCATGGACCTTACCACCACAAGACGCCGCCACACCGCTGTACCGTCTTCCATAAAAACGCCGGACCTTAATCTGGAATCCGGCTCGACTCTTTCATCCCGAGTCGCCGCGGGTGCCTGTCTTGTCCCCACTCTTGAAATGTTCCAGCATTCGTGTCGCGAACTGAAACACTACATCGCGAGCGGCCACGAGGTCGTCGATCAGATTGCGGCGGAGGCGGCGGAAAACCAGCCGGCGCTCTTCCGAGAGTATAGCGGCGCGTCAAGGGCGCAGCGCGCGATCATGGATAAGCAATTTGGAAACGTGAAGACCAATGCGAGACTCCTGAGCAAAGGGATGTGGTATGAGTGGCGAAGCCAACTGTTGAAGGGATTGAAGGTGGGTTTCGAGGGAATCGCAGAGGGGATGGAGCGGGATGGGAAAATTTTAGAGGAGAAAGAGCGCATGATCGCGGGTGTTTTGCCGGAACTGCAAGCTAGAAGGGAGAGCTTGGAAACTGAGAAACAGGTCCTGGAACAGCAGGTAAGAGACGTGAATGAAAGCGATAGGGAGGAGCTTGATGAAGTAAGAGAAGGGTTAGTTGATGTGGGAAAGGAAATTGAAGAAAAAAAGAGGATGCTGGAACAGCTGCAGAAATACGTACGAGAAAAAAATGATGCCATTGAGACGAGCCAAGAAAAGAAAGCTGAAATGATTGCTGAGATCAAAGAGGCGGAAAGAATTAGAGAGGAATCCTGCGGCTGGTCTGCTGTAGAGGTTCGGGGCCTTCAAGGTATGGAATTTCAGGTTCATGTCCTGGCAGATACTCACTGATGATTCAAACAGAGTCTGTCCAGGCACTGGAAGCAGAGCACGGCTGGTCTATCATCTCCGCGTCGAACACAAACGTTACAATGGTATACCGCAATAGCATCCAGCTTTTCTTCGATATGGCGTCATTTCGGCTTGGAGGTTCTGCGTATGCTACCAAGCAGGAAAACTCATCTATTCGACTTACGTATATCGGAGATGATAATGAGCATCGCCCACGACCACTAACAACGGAAACACGCTTCTTTCTGCAAATCATGCGGGCCCATTTGCAGTGCATTAGCCAAGGCCAAACCCGTGTCAAAGAGCTGTTAGATTTTGTATCCTCTGGATGGCAAATGGCCTGGGCCGTTTCCGCTGCTGTCAAAGGTCTGGAAAGAGGGTTCATCACAGAGCCATCAATTTTAAGCGACGAGAAGATGGAAATCCGATCCATGATGCTGCTATCGAAGTTGGAAACGAAAATTATGATTGGTTTTGAGGTTGGTGCAGCAGTTCAGGACGGGAAAGTCAATCCACATATTACGCCGACAGCCCGTGTTGCGTACGGAGAAAGTTACAATGAGCGGAAGATGGCAGAATTCTTGGCCAGCAAGGTCGGAGATAGGTTTGATGGCTGGGCAGATGCTGTTTGGGAACTTAAGGAGAAATTACTAGCGAAGGGAAGGAAAACTACTAGGACTTGACGAAGATTACGGCTTAGCATTGCATCTTGGGGTGGCATAGCGCCTTGGATACTCCGTATTCAGTATCGGGCTGATTGAATACATTATTACTGATATTCCGTCAGCAATTCACCCACTATTGAGGACAAAGTGATTGCTCTCATGTCCTAACTTGATTCAACAATACAGAGATGATGACCCACCAAAGATACTCTACGCTTAATATCGACTCGACTGGCTCACCCTTGCACCGTTTCAAGTCCCGCTCATAATAAACTCAAGGTCAACCACCGTTGCTCAAGCTCGAATCTTACTGCCTTGGGCCGCGCTTACTCTCCCTCAGTCTCGCTCGCAACCACGATTCCAGGTATGCGCAGAGCAGATAGCGACGGGAATGAGTGCATTATTCTCGTCAAAAACTTATTGTCAAAGGACCAATCCGATGTTCCTCCCCCCCTTTTTTAAGAGGGAAAAAGAAAAAAAAAAAAAAGAGAACCATGACAAGTCAAATCAGATATCCAGGTCGCGCCCGGAATCGAACCGGGGTTGCCGGAAAACATGATTAAATTATCAGAATCCGGAGTGATCACCGCTACACTACGCAACCGTGCGCCTCAGATTTTCTTGAAGTAGCTTATATAGTTTTCTCCGAACGGTCTGGCCAAGGTACATATAACCATGAGTCTTAATGCAACGCTAGGCTATTATCGACGCGTGCTCCGTGCGTGAATGTTCAAGAATGCTGAAAGAGTCCGTGTGTTTCTCACCGAAAGATCATACCCAATTTGCAACATCGTACACGCAGGAAGTTTTAGCCACCCACGATACGAGTATTGGAGTGATCTGGGTATATACTAAAAATCGGTATAATACTCTTTTCCGGCCCGAAATTTCAGAACGATCCCAAAGATATCAGCATCACCATTCAATGCCGCAGCGAGATAGGGTCGCTAAAAGCAGTCATAGTATACTCATCACCAGGGAGGCTATCAATGACAGTACATCGTTCAAGGAGCCACGTAGAGGGGCTGGGAAGCCAGTGCTTATTGTTGTTCGCCGGAGTGTTGAGAAGCAACGACTGGATTCATGAAAAGGTGTGGCCAGTCTTGGTCCACAATCTTCGTTCTCGTCAAACGAGGAACGCATCATGAATGCTCGAGAGCTACTTTCCATAGATTGACGCAAGTCTCGGGTCATTTGGTACAAATCTTTATACTACGATGGGCTTTTACTTCGATGTATTGCTGGACCTGTGTTGAATCGTCGCCATCGTTGACCATAACGTGTCTACGTGGCATCCTAGGGTTTGCAGATTCTCATTTGAAGCGTAAATCTCAAGAGATTAACGAATGGCGATCGACCAGCACTGCCAAGACGAAGGATCTGTTCGGGGCCAATTCCAGGACCGGCTCACGTTGCTCGGGGTAAGGAGCTTACTCCTAGGCTCCACCTCGATCACGCTGGCTCATGTGGACTCAGGGCGTGCTCCGTCCTGCTCAGCCACGTATCAAGCTGCTTAACCATTGCTCACGTTACAAGCCTTCGGTTTCAACGTCCTCTATCAGAAGTAGAGTTTTTATAAGGTCACTTTGTCCTCATATATCTATCGCGATAAGACCTAATGAGCAGCCTCATCTAAACGTTGGGGAGTCGCACCGCCACATTTCGCGGGGTTAGATAACCCAGCCAATGGACGGATTTGTGAATTGACAGCTTCAGCCACACATCCACTTGCGTCATTCCTATCAACCGGTTTTCGACCAGCAGCAGGATGATATCCCAGCAATCCATTACTTGCCCTTATGTGATGATGTTATCATTGACCAGCTCGTCGATGTTCGGTGGTGTCTAATATTTCTCATCACTTGATATCAATGTACCGAGTCTATTAGGCTTGTTCACAATGGCGCTCAATGGAACCAAAGAAGAGAAGAGGTCGAAGTGGAATCCCTTTTCCAAGGGTAAGAAGGTTGATAACCTGGAAACCCCTGCTAATGGTCCCGACTCCACCTACGCAAGTAACTCTGAAACCGAAACGAATGGTAAATCAAGCGTCAATAGCGAGCGTAGTAAGTCTGGTCAGAGCACTCGACCATCGCCCCATCCAAAATCAAGCAACGACGGCCCTCAGTCATGGACGAGTCCTGCAATAACAAGAGAGACGCATCATGACCCAAGTAGTGGTCAGACAGTCACTACGACGACTACAACGACTACGACCACAACCACCATTACTGGTCCAGGTGGGACAAGCACAACTCAGCAGCCTCGCACCGATCCCCCTCCAGAAGCTAGCAACACAACCCGAACGACTCCTCCGCCCAACTCTCGGCGTAATTCAGGTGGCCCTAACGTTCCCCATCGCGGTAGCAGTCTCAACCAAGAGAATGTCCATCCAGCTTTCCGCACAGGTACGAACTACAAGACTGCCGATGCGCCCGCTGCACAGCCTTTCGAACAATCTTCACGAAGAAGTCCCAATCGACAATACGTAGCACCCACACCACTGCCACTGAGCGACAAAAAGAGCAACCATAACTATGGTCAAACCCCCATTAGTCCAACCAGCCCACCACCTGGGGCTCAGTTCCAGAAACCAGGTCAGAACTTCTCATACCCCCGAAAGACGCCACCACCCAACGAGGCAGCAGACGCGCAAGAAAACAAGCGGTACTATCGACGATCGCAGGAACAACCGCGAGAGGGTACACTCGCGGAACTCAAAGCAGCGGCTGCGGGTATACATGTAAGCTCAGACCCTACGCCACAAGCGTCTCAGCGATAACGCACAATTCATCCAACAGCCCGCTAACACCTCTTTGATCCCAGGGCACAGTCGCCAGCCTAGCCGACAAGCACCTTCTCCACTCCAAAAACAACATCCCTCAGCAAACCCAACCTCCAGCCTCTGTCGATCGTGGTCGCCAAGACATCCCCCGGCCCCGTCAGACACAACAGCAGCCGTCACCATTGCGGGAGTCCTGGGGCGCGGATACGCATCGAGGCGGGATAGGAACACAGACGTCCATCTCGGCGAATCAGCGGGACGGAGAGAAGGAGAAGGGTCAGCAACAGAGGGAAAAAAGGTCGAGTGGGGGAATACTGGGGAGTTTTGTGAAGAAGGCGAGCAGTCATCCCCAGGGGAATAATGGGACGGACTTGAGGAGGAGTGGGTCGCAGAGTAGTGGGAGCGGCATGGGGCTGGCGAATAAGTTGAGGAAGAGGAGGTCTGAGCTGGGACCTGTGAATGAGTACGCGCGGGCGTGAACTCGGTACTCTTTTTTTCCTTTTTTTTTTCTTTTGCTTTTCTTTGTCTTTGTTCAGGCACCGTTTCTGAGCGTTCCGGCTTGATTTTAAGGTGGGCCTCTTGAAGCATATTTTCTGGTCATGTGGATAGGCTGATCTTAAAAATCTAAACAATGATTTGGGTTAGCCACAAGAGTGGGTTACCAACGTACGCCTGCTTGCCTCTGCCCGCGACTGCCGGTCCGGTTTTTGCCATGCACAAAGTGCTGATTATCTTTGATCAGGATTGGGTATGTAAAATCAGATGACTAATTTCATTGATGAGTGATTGTGTGAGTGATTTGCATGCAGTGGTTTGGTTGCTTGAAACCCCCTGCTATGCGACCCAATGTTGGAAGCATACTCTACCCAGCACAATGTCATGGCGTACCAACTCTCTTAAATTAGGCAGCTACGGCTACGCTCTCTATTCTGCCAAATTTCCCTTGGTCAATCGGCATCCCATGGCGCAGCCTTGGCTGCAGCATCCCGCAGGAGAAGATGTTCCCATCAAATATTGGGGTTCCTAAGCCGTCAGGCCACTCACTTCTTAGTATCGACTGTAAGCAGCCTGAAACTCATTCGTCATGACTTGATGACTCCTGTCTAGCTCTCAATAGCAGTCATAGCTACGCAACTCTTGTGGGCTGTGCTGTTGGTGGCTCGCAAACTCTTCATTTATCCCCTCAGGTCCAAAATTTGCTATGGCAAGATCATAGTATGAAGCTTACTATGATATCGTTCAACTTACTAGATAGATCTTTAAGATCCAGAAGCTACACCAGCCATATGGTAAGGAACATTTATTGCAACCTTGTCCACGTTCTCTCTCACCGCTCTCTGTGAAGGACCAATTATGAGAATAGCTCCTGATGAAATTCATGTCAACAATCCAGCATTCTAAGACACTGTATATGCTCCTTTGCCTCTTAGACACGAAAAGGAGCATGCACAAAATGTGGACATGTCGCTTTCCGTAGCTGGCAGTCGAACCACGAGCTCCGTACTCTAAGCTTTAACCGTTTAACGAATGCTCCGTTCTTTGTTCAGCAAGCGAGGATGACACGTATTATCCCAATGGCCATAAAAAATAGCCTCTAAAATAAAAAAGGATTAAATAAAACTATAAACAATCATATAATAATTATTTGATTTATAATTGAATTATAATCCTCCACTTACGGAATAGCAATTCTATATTTAGGTCTGTTTCCGAACCCTGGGATGTCTAAATAAATTCTGATGAGATTTGACAAATCGCGCTCTGCGAATAGATAAAGCAGACTTGCACCTTTAGTATACCTGCGTGCTTTCTGTTTCTTTACCAAATTATCGAGATAGATCCAAGAAGCAAGTGGAAAGTTTTGGATAAAGTCTTCTTGGGCAACACCGCTGCCTGCTGCTACGTCCGCATGATATAGCACATTGCATACGGCATACTCTAGGAAGGGGAATGCGTCAGTGACCGAGGAGCAGAGAGCAGCAGCTTGCCCTGGGGAGGCTTTCGGAAGGCTTTTATCGAGTTGCAGAAGACCAACTACATCAATATTCATATAATTGATACAGCAATGTCTCAGACGCTCGTGACTTTGACCTTGGAAATTGTTCTCAATTCCAGGCCAGATGCTTTTGAGGCCATTGTCCTTGACAAGAAAGTCCTTGATGGATTCATGAATGAACTGCACTTTCGGAACCTTGGATACCGTAAGCTCGGCAAGTCCTTTGGAGCAATTGAGTATGAATCTTCTGATAGTGCTTTGTGTGATCTCTTTAGAATCCCAAATTGATAGGATCTCCGGCTCGATCCCAGACAGAATAGCAAAATACAACTGCTCTGGAGTCAACGGCGTGGTTGCGAAGAGTACCCACTGAATACAGAGAATCAGTTCGTTTTTATTCTTGGAGTCGCGCGTTAAGATATCAAGAAATAGCTTATGAAGATCGCCAGGGATCTCCTGCAGTGTTCGTCGAAGCGCGTGTATACGGCCACCGTCGTGCTCTTCATTCAGTATCCTAACCACAAGAACAACCCACATAAACACATTTGAGGCTTTGTCTTGGACCTCCCTTCGGATCTCGTGAGCAATTTGGCTATGGCCAATCTTCAACTCGCTATTCAGGTAGTTGGCTATATCCTGATTGTGTCCTTCTTGTCCTTCTATCACTAGATCCAGTCCTCCGCGCATGGTGATATGCGGATAATGCCTACTGGAAAAGCAGACCTGTAGCCTGACCCCAGCAGACACAGTGAGGTCACCGATATACTCAAAGAATGATATCATGTCGCGGACTTGATACTCCTCACATTCGTCTAAGGCATCA